TGTACATCCCCCATTCAATTCGATGGGCATCATTTTGTCCCACAGTACTTTGCTTCCTTGTCTCCGTTTGAGCCAAGCTTTTTTCGACCGATTTCTTATCTCGCTATCGATTTCCGTATTATCTTGCAGAATAAAACCATGAGAGTTGAATTCTTGGGTTTGAAGCAGCAAGCTGCCTGCTACTGTCACTCATTTGACGGTTTTCAATCTGCTCTCCCCAGTGAAATATATTCTGAGTTGCCCTTGCCGTTTCGAAGGCCGTTTACTTTGTTAGGACTGCTCTCTATGCCTAAATTCTTTCTTCCACTGCTTCTCTGCTTTCACTGCACAGCAAAATGTCATCAGCGTAGAGCATACAGCATGGAGAGGTTTCCTGCAGATCCCTAGTTATGGCCTCTGTCACCATCGAGGACAGAAAAGGGCTCAGTGCAGATCGTTAGTGGATTCCTACGTCTACACAGAGCTCTCTGTTTCGCCACCTCTACTTCGAACTATCGATTGCCATTATGTCGTATATGGCTTTGGTACGCCTGACATATTTTTCTGGCACAAGCTTCATTCCTATGCTCCACCAGATTGCCTCCCTCAGGATCCAGTCAAAGCGGTCAAAACCTTTCTCCAGATCTAGGAACACCATGTAAATATCTTTTCTGCCTTCTATGTATGCTTCGAGGGCTGATCATAAAGCAAAAATAGCATCCGTGGCTAACCGGCCTGGCATGAAGCCAAATTGGCTCATGGTGAAGTCGACCTCATTCCTTAGCCTTTAATCCAGCGCGCTCTAGTATAGTTTCATGGTGTGACTAAGTAGTTTAATTCCCTAGTGGTTTTCAGAGGTGAGTATGCCCTCTTTCGTTTTGTTCACTGCATCAAAATACTCTGCCTTCGTAATTCCGGCATTTTTTCATATTCTAAAATTTTATTGAGTATCGCGCTGAGTCAAACCACGCCATTTCGCCCCAGCGCTTTCAACGCTTCAATGGGAACATCGTCCGGGCCAAGGGTCTTTTTATTTTTGATTTTTCTCAAAGCATGTTCCACTTCATCAGGTGCGATCTTCTCGACTAGGCTCTGGTTTCATTAGATGACTTCCCAACCTCTCTGAGATGTTCTTCGTTTAGTGCCGTTTGGAGGAAGTGTCTTCGCCGGTCAGCATCACTCAGGTTTCTTCTTTTATGCATTTCATTTCACCGATGTCTCTTGCTCTTCTTTCTCTGGCTTTTGTTATGCGATAGATGTCTTTATTCCCTTCCTTGGTCGCCAATTTCTCGTATAAGTTCTTTCACGCCTTAGATTCTGCTTCGGACTTTCTTTGCATTCCTCTTCGATCTAGCATATTTTGCACTCAATTCCGCGCTGTTTGATAACTGTCATTCCTAGAGCAATTCATTCTTCTGTCTACGGTAGCCTGCACGTCCAGAATCCACCGTCAGGTTTATTTCTGGATATATGTGGCACCTTTTGTTTCTCCGACTAGACCTCTGCCATTCCCTATGATTGTGCTGACCATCCGCTCCCATACTTTGTCCACTTTCCAATTCCAGTCTTCGTCATTTTTCTCTCAACTTCCATTTTGAACGCTTCTTTCAGCTTCCCCTCGAGCTTCCACCACTGTATATTCACAATCTGAATAGGCTGTTTCAGAGAGAGGTCTAAGACCAGAAGCTGGTGCTGACTTTCGACAGTTGTCGGGTTTACCTTG